TACCTAAGTGTCTTACGCTTAAACTCGGCTGTAAAGCTATTTTTGGCTTAAGTGATCAACATAACAGTTGTGTATATATGTGTTAACTACTTGTTAGTTTTGGAATCACTTAAATAGCATGCTTATAGCTCATGTTACCTTGGAAATATTGAGACCATGCGAGTTGTTCATTCCCATTTTTGGTCTACAGTTATGTTATGTGTTATTGTTGAAGTATGTGGCTAATTTATATCACATGAGTGTAGTTAAGTGATTGTGTGTTAGATAGGCTTTCATAGGACTATTTTGTGTAATGTAGGTGTGCGACGAGCTGTGTCTCGGCCTACCTTTTTCTCGAATTTGTGTGATTTCATCCTCCGGATACCAGGTGGGTTTTACTTATAAAGTTATCTATGCCATACGTGTGTTTAAGTGTTTGGTTGGTATGACCTATGTATGAATGTGAACCATGTGGCCTACTGACGTGAGCTGTTACGGCCATCGGTGCGGTTGTCCCCGTCGAGTTACGGTACGGTTGCCCTTGCGAGGCAAGTCTCCTTAAGACCTAATGAAAGGCCGTGTCCGTTACAGTGGCACGCACTCCCGTCGTTAGGGTTTATGCATCCCCTTTCCGTGGCTAATGATAGATGTGCACATGAGTGAGTTATTGTTGAGATTAGGAGATGAGACATGATGATGATTGATTTATATTCATACTGCGACCATACCATCTTAACATGTATTATTTATATGCATAGTGGTGAGCACGCTTTTCATCTAGTTCTCATCTCCACCTGCTCTTTATCGATGCAGGTTAAGCAGGAGCTGGGTGACGAGAAGAGGCGAGTGGGTCGGTTGTTTTTATTTGTTTATCGCTTCCGTATGAATAAGGTTTTATGAACCATTATGTTGGGACTTGATTATGATATTTTCCAAAAACCTATGGTTTGTTGTTTTGGAAAAATTTGTGGAACCCGGATTGTTGGGTATTATGGTTGATGATATATGCATGTTGAGTATTATGTCTCGTGATGTGTTTCGGTTAATGAAAACCGTTTGTGAAAACTGGGTAATGAATCCCCGTGAGCCCAGATAAGACTTGGGTTATGAAAAATGTTGTTTAACACCCATTGAATTTTCGAAAATGATTTTGAAAATTTTACCCTGATATTTAGAAAGTCCGGAATTTCTTTAAAATCAAAGTGGGGTGTTACAGACATACCAAGCACGAGGCGCTTGTTTCAAGCCATACAAAGCTCGACGTAGACGATAAACTTTCCCAGATAACAATGATCCAGGAGGAGGAGTCATGTAAACCTCCTCAGATAAGGCACCATGTAAGAAGGCATTCTTGACATCTAATTGTAGAAGAGACCATCGACGAATAGCAGCAACTGCAAGTAAACACCGGACAGTAGTAAGACGAGAAACCGGTGCAATGGTCTCTTCATAATCTATGTTGTACTCCTGTGAGTAACCCTTAGCAACCAAACGAGCTTTGTAGCGCTCAATAGATCCATCTGAATTTGTCTTGATCTTATACACCCACTTGCATCCGAGGGGAGTCTTGCCAGCAGGTAAATCCACCAAATCCCAAGTATGAGTCTTTTCTAAGGCCTGTAATTCCTCAGTCATAGCTTTTTGCCACAATGGATCAGCATTCGCCTCACGAAAAGACCTAGGCTCATGATGAGATAGAATGGCCAAATAACAATGATAGTCAAGTAAGTGAGAAGGGAGACGACTTACACGGGTTGATCGTCGGTGATCAATGGACGGCGAAGGGACAGAATCAGAAGTGGACTCAACAGGAACCGTCGGTTCAGGATGCGCAGGTGGAGCCACTTCAGAAGACGAAGGCATGACAGGCGTGTGAATGAGCTGTGAGTCAGGACAAGTATCTGGAAAAAGATCCGAAGTAGTGGACATGAAGAAAGGGGACGACGAATCAAAGGGAATGTGAAATTTAGACAAAGAAGAAAAAGTAGTATGCTCCCAAAAAGTAACATGACGCGAAATACGCAACCGATTAGCAATAGGATCCCAACACCTAAACCCTTTGTGTTCTACTCCATAACCCAAAGAACAACACAGACGAGCCCGAGGTTCTAATTTAGTCCGCTCATGAGATGGGAGAAGAACAAAACAAACACAACCAAAAGGGCGTAACTGAGTATAATCAGGTGACTGACCGTACAACCTCTCAAAGGGACTGATATCTCGAAGAACCGAAGAGGGTAATCGATTGATAGCATAAATAGCAGTCAAGGCTGCCTCACCCCAGAAACGATCAAGACACTGAGCAGAAAGGAGAAGAGCACAAATAGTATCAGGAATATGACGATGCTTACGTTCAGCTCGTCCATTTTGTTGAGAAGTACAAGGACATGAACGTTGAACTACTGTGCCCTGATCAGAAAGAAATTGTAAAAAGGTAGAATCTTTGTACTCAAGAGCATTGTCAGTACAAAGATACTTTCTATCGTTCTATCGTTTCATTTGTAGAATCTTTGTAGAATCTTTCTATCGTTTCGGAAAAAAAAGAGCATTGTCAGTACGCAATACTTTTATAGGACAAGAAAATTGAGTGTGAATCATTCGAGCAAATTAAATATATACAGTGGGCAACTCAGAACGATGCTTGAGAAAATAGATCCAGGTAAAGCGAGAAAAATCATCAACAAAAATAACAAAGTAACGAAAACCATTCATAGAAGCAACCAGAGAAGAACCCCAAATATCAGAATGTACCAAACCAAAAGGTTTATCAACAGTTGACAAATTCTCAGAAAAAGAAAGAGCCGAGTGTTTCCCAAGTTTACAATGAAGACAACTAAAAGACTCAAAATGACCCGGACCTAAAAGACCTTTATTATATAAAGAACGAACTTTATTTGAAGATGCATGCCCAAGGCGAAGATGCCACTGAAAGCTGCACTTACTATCGATGACCGGAGCAGAAAAAGA